TAAAATCTCTTAGCATAATATTTTGCTCAGTGTAAGCATTTAATACATAGTGATTGCTGATAAATGCCATTACTACTCGATAGTCTCCAGTTAAATGGCGTAGAGAAGTAAGTGCTGGTGTGTGTGGGTAGTGTGGGATGTTCAGCAGCATATCTGACCTCTCCTAGCAGATGACTGTATCATTCACCTAGCCCCCACTCCACCCACCCAGCTGTGATAATCAAAGTTATCTCAGGACATGGCTAAATGTTCCCCGGCAGGCTGGCTGAGATCCACTGGTGTGTGGAGCAGACCCCTTGGGGATGGGAGAACTGATTCTGATTAATGACTCTGCAGTCCTAGGTAGTCTCTTAGCTCTCTGGACTATGGGTTTGAGATAGGATACAACAATCCTGGGCATTCCTGCTTCATCTTTCATGGGGTTCATAAGGAAGAACTGAGGGGCAAAAATCAAATGCTCTGAAGAAGTTACCAAACTGGGATTCTACAGGATTGGGTAGCTAGAGGTAGGTCATTGAAGGGGTGATTCAGAAGTCTTGCTTCAGACAACAGCTGATGCTGACTGCTCACCTCTGATTCCCACACTGAGAAGTCCCTCTCCGCTCAGCAGTTCTTATCAATTACATGTCAAGGGCTCCCTTGTCCTTCCATGGATGTATCTGTAGCTTGAAGAATTCAAGAGGAGCTGTTTTCTTTCAAAATGAGATGTTCCTTTTAAAAACCCCAAGTGGTGAAAACTGCCTTGTTGTCTCTAGATATAACTGTCTTCTAAATTTATCACTCACATGTCTAGAGTTAACCAGTCCCTGGAATTTTAACTGTTCTCGTCTGCAGATGGATATTCAGAAGGAAGTGTTCTGAGGCTTTCCAATATCACTGCACAGAATAATACTACAATAATATATATGAGTAATACCATGAGAGGGGTTTTTTTTTTGTCCCCCATTAGCAAGGGAGCATTTATTGATGTTCTGTTGTATAATGGGAACCAGCATGGTGAAATCCAGAGGTGGAACCGCCTGTCACTGTTGGATTTATTTTTGCAAAATCTTTAAACGAGCAGGAGTGGAGTATCTGGTAAGTCTGAGTGGGATGCAGCCAGATGAGGGTTTAAGGTTCAGCCCCATAAATATATAGCACACACCATCAAGCAGGTGTGAGGTGGCCGTTTTGTAGGTATAAGTAGTAACTTACTTTCTGCCCAATCTGAAAGACTTTTCAGTTTCTTTTTTTTCCCATCAGAACATGTTTGGTCTGAATGCTTCAGAAAGACCACTGAAATGACAATCAATAGTTTTAAAGTAAAATTTATAGTCTTAAACTAAGCATGAGAGCGGCAGAATCCTTGGATCACATGACCAATTATTTTCCAGTTTATGGGTAAATTACCTTCCTAATTTCCAATGAGTATTAGTTGGAAAGTAAGTATCACAAGTTACCTAAAGGACAATGGCACTGAGTCAGGGCAAAGTAGGTGATGCATTTTTTCCTTCCTTAAAATAATTCATACTGGCTGTTTAAGAGCATATATTAGATGTGGGTATTTGGTCCAGTGGTTAAGTCCTTGCTGAGATATCTGCCTCTCATATTAGCATGCCCAGGTTCAGACCCGATTCTGTTTCCAATTTTATCTTCCAGCTAATGTGTAAACTGGCAGGAATCAGGTGATGATGGTTCATGAGGCTGAGCCCCTTCTCCTCCAGATTGAGTTTCTGGTTTTGGGCATTTGGGGAGTGCCCAGCAGATGGGCACTGTGTCCATTGGTCTGTCTCTCTCAAATGAATGCATTATTTTTTCCTTCAGAAAGGACATCCATCAGTAACCTGAAAGTCCAGCAAAGAAGCAAGAAGATAAGCTTGGAATTAGACTGGTCTGCCATTTGCTAGCTGAGAGACCACAGGGTTTTCTAAGCCTCAGCTTCCTCATCTGCAAAGACAAGATTAGTGCCATTTATTATAGCGTGAGGGTAAATATAAATAAAGCCTGTGAAAATGCCTAGTGCCAAGCCCAGGGTGTGGAAGCACTCTAACTGCTGCTTCACACCAGACTCCGTTATAGAGTCCTGTATCTGGTGGTTTAGAAGAAAGGATGGGACAACCCACGCAAATGACTGTAAACTTACATTATGTTTCTATCGCTTTCTTATTAATGTAGAATGTAGCATGTGGAAAACGGCGTAAAAATTACAAAGTAAAAGCCATTGAAAAGATACAGAATAATCTGTTTGCAAGTTATCAGTGGTGACACTGCAAGTTACTTATCTATTCATCCTGCATGGGAAGGTACTTCGAAGCCCCGCCTCCTCCACGCAAAAAAAAAAAAAAGCCATGAATGTGATCAGTTTTCTTACACTTGGCGTGGTTCATCAGCCACAAAATCATTTTGTGATAAAAGACACTATGATAACAGGTAACACAGGAGAATGAAATGATAAAAAATAAGTTTCTGGAATTTTCATGACTAAGAGCTTTTAAAATATTTTAAAGTATTTTCCTTATAGAGGAGCCCTTTAGCCATGCTTTAGTGCTTCCTTTTTTTGTCCCTAACAACTGTTCCAACTTGCATTGCATTGTAATTGGCACACGTAGAAATCATAAACCAACGTTTATTAGTCTCCCTACTGCATAGTGGACTCTCAAATACTATTTGCTGGGCTGAGTGCAAGCATTCCTTTACATATGTTGACTATATCATAGGTATAGTACATTGTTCTACATACCATTTGTAACAGAAAATGTTTATTGAACATTTGCTGTTTTCAGGCATCACCAGGGTTGTTCTGTTAATGACTCAGTTATTCTCACAATAACACCCAGGTGTATATATTATCTTCATCTCACTGATGAGAAAGTTGAGGTAAAGAGGGATTAGGGAACATGGCTGCCTATTACAGACGTTACCTAACAAAGACTAAGAATGCACAGTGACTTCATTGAAGAGCAGTGATTCAAAGCCAGTCACTTAGACATGAGAGCCCACACCCTTGACTATGTGATAAACTACTTTGCCCACAGACTATTTATTGCTTACTCACTGTTGCTGCTTTTCAACAGGTTTGCTTTGCTTTCTCCTAGAGGGGGGAAGACTTCGTCGAAAGGGCCAATGACTTTGGAAATCAGGCTTAACGAATTCAAATTATGATTAAGTTGCTGACAGCTGGGTGTCCTTGGGCAAGCTGCTTTTTACTGAGTTTCCCTTGTCTTAGAAGCTGGACATAAGATTAAAAGAGGTGATAGAGGCAAGATATTCTGCAAAAGACCCGACACTCAGCAAGCATTCAGTTAAGTAGTTGCTATGTTAGGAATATAGACTATTGACACCAAACAGTCTAAAGTCGGCTTTTAGTTATACATTCCCTGCTCGCTCATCAACCAGATATGCCTCTATTCTCCTCAGGGTGGGGTGTGTATTTCCTCAACCTGGCTTCCTAGCAAGTCTTATAGCTTCAAATGTTGTCTGTTGCTGAGCTTTCCCAAATGGCTCTTTCATTCTAGACCCTGACCCTGGACTTCGGTCCATGGCAGTCAACCTCCTCCTCAGGATCTGCTTATGGATTTCTAAATGGCTCAGTCTTAAAACTCAGTATGAGCAAGCTTCAAATTCCACTTACCACAAACTTGCTTCTGTTATAGTTCTCTCCATCTCAGCAAAAGGCAATCCTACGCACAAGCCCTGGAGTCAATCCTTGAATCCTTCCTTTGCTTATAACCCACATTTGATGCATGGTGATCCATCTTATCTCCAGTTTCAAAAGCAATGTAGAATTTGCTCCCTTTTCACCACCTTCTCCACTATTGATCTTGCCCTTAGATTATCGCTGTAGCTTCCCAACTGGTCTCCCTGCTCCTATGCTTGCAACTGCCCCACTCTCAACTAAGTCACCAAAGTGATCCATTCAATGTGAAAGTCAGATCATGCCTCTCTTCTGTTCAAAACACTCAGATGCTTTACCAGCCCACTCAGGGTTAAAGAAAAGTTCCATGATGTCCTACCACAGCACCTTGATTGTCACAGGGATCCTGTTACATCTACTCTCTCTTGCCCATCCTGGCTCCAACCTCAATGGCTTCTTGTTTTTTCTTGGTTATAGCAGGCCTGCTCTAACCTCTTAAGATCCCCACCATATCCCCACACCCTGATGACTAAGTACTTAGCATGAAGTAGGGGCTCAACAAATATTGTTGAATGAATGGCTTAGATAATCATCTAGCTGAAGATCCAGCTCAGTTGGTGATGTGCCATTTCTGTGTCCAGTGACTGCTGCTTCTTGTTTGGCTCCTCACCGTGCAGTGTAGGCTGTGCCTTTCCCAGCAGTGGCATCCTGACACTTCTGCTATGTCTGGGGGATCCACTAAACACTGTGAGAATTCGAATCAGAAAGACAATTCAGTTCCTAAATAGTTCCAAGCTCCAGGTCTCAGCAGCATTTTTATTCTTTTTCCTAATCTCCAAACATTTTTTGTTATAGAGGAACACACTGAATCAGGAGTTTCATTTTTCATTTCCAGATCCCTATATACATCTTCTACAGTACTATAGGCCTAACCACAGGTTAGGCTGCTCGTCATGATGGCATCACGACTGTGGTTTCACTTTGCCTGGGGATATTCACAAGGACACCCAGAATGCATTCCCCTTTCTGCTGCCAAATTAACTGTTATGCTCAAAAGGCACATTTGGACATGGGCCATGATGAGTAACATCTTTTTCTGTAGGAATGGCTTGGAAAGGCTGTCTCACATGTGTTTTTGAAGAGCTGGGTCACTCTTTTATCCACTACCAGTGGAATGGCTGCAGGCACAAAAACAGCTCACTTCTTGAAGCCTTTTGGTGTCCTACAGGTGTTTTCTGTGAAATGCCAGGCTTATCTCCAAACTGCTTGAGATCAAAGGAACATGATCAATCTCCTTTGCCCCCTTCCAAGGATTCTCCTGAGCGAAGGGGGGGAATGAAGATCTTAGAGGTAATGGAATACATTAGGAGCAATGGCTTCTACTTACCACATGCTGGGATGTCACAGAGATCAGACTTAAAGTTTTCATCCAAGGTAAAGCACCAGGGAGCTTCTTTCTGGTTCCCTGGGTTGCGGCAGTAGGAATGGCCTCCATTCAGCTCTGGGAAACGGAGGGCCGTGAAGGTGTGCATGTGGGGGTACTGAGAATTCCAGGGCTGGCACTGGCGCCCTGATTTAGTCACACTGACAGTCCCCCGGTAATCCACTCCTGTGCTGTTATAACACTTGTGATCTGGAAAACACACAAGGAAGGCCCAACGCATGAGAAAAGCACAGAGGGGATGCAGCCAGCTAGTAGCGGAAAAGAAGGGCATGCAATTAACTTTGAAGCCAAGGCCTCCCTGCTGGTCAGGGGCCATGCAGGGCAGTCTCCTTGCTTGCTGGGCTAGGACCCTGGGCCTGCCTCGCAGCTACATTCCTGGGAGGATTTAAAGCTTATGCTTCAGTGATAAAACCAGCCTTCCACAAGCATTTTCAATACTGAACATGGGAGAAATCAGAACTGAAGGAGGGACCTGGGGGCCACGGGAGTTATTTCCTCCTGAACGGTTCAAGGAAGGTTCAAGCCGAATTTTTCCTTTCTTCTGACTGATGGCCTTAGACATGAATCATGTGATAAAGGATTCAGTTGGTAATTTACAGAAAACATTTATTGGGAGCAGCACATTCTGATTTGTATGAGGACTTAGGGTTACTTCTGTGCCGACGGAATAGACGCGCTAGGGAATCAAGCCCTATTAAGTGTCCCTCAGAGGTGACCACAAGGGCTGTAGGATGATGCTGAGATCTTAGCATTTGCTAAGCATACTTCTAAGAGGTTTAGATGCATGATTTTTTAAGCTAGTAAAGCAGTATTAAGTACCAAAAGAAAGCCAAAAAGTTCCCAGAAGTTTAATTCTAGATGAAGGGGAGACAGTTTACTTGGTGCTGATGAGAGGGTAGAGGATGGCAGCAGGCCTCCAACGTGTAGTGATTCCAACTTGCAGTAGAAACACAGTCAAATTTACCATTGGTGCATTTAGCCCATTAACAAGGCTGTATAACCATCATCCAAAAAGGAAATCCCACACTCGTGAAGTCAGTGTTTGCTGCTACGACTGGTCCCTACCCCCGGCAACCACTACTGTACCTTCCAACTCTAGGAACTGAGCTAGTCCGGATTTTTCATACAGAAATATTTGTCTCATCCAGGCTGTAGTACATATCTTTCACTCCTTTTTAAGGATAAATAACATTTGGCTGTGTGGCTATACCACAACTTGCTCATCCACTTATTCATGGACACACAGCTCCATTATTTCCACTTCTGGCTACCATGAACAGAATGTTAATGAACAGCCTTTCATGCATTTTAATTCAGATCCTATATTCAATTCTTTGGAATATATCTAAAGGCATGGAACTACTGGCTATATTCAGCCTATGTTACTGAGAAACCAGCCCTCTCATTTTCAAATTATTGTCTTCATGAAGCTTGTTGAAGATCATGGTATCTAACCTATTATGGAATGTACATATACAGTAGCTAACCCGTTGGAGTGTAATCCGAGTTACTACCATGAATCATTACTGTGGGGCAAGGGCCATTTCAGGGTACCCGCTTACTTTTGTTTATAGGATCCGCCATAGGGATTCCAATCCGGATGCAGTTGGCAGCTTCCGGGCTCTCGGGCTGCGGCAGATCTTCACAGTTGGGCAACTTGAGCCTCATGAGAATCATGGGGTTAGACCTGGCAAAGATGTACTCCGTTTGACACAGGACGTTTTCCAGGATTTCACATTCATCGCGACACAGGTCACGGGGCTTGGGGACAGCAGAGGTTTCGTCACAGTAAGGGAAGGCGTAGTGGCACAGGGAAGGAATGGCGAACTGAGAACACTTATCAGATAAGTGGCTGGAGGTGCCGATCATGGTGAAGGCGGCTGAAAAACAAACACAGGTTATAAGCTTCCACAGGCCAGGGTTTATCTTCCCCGGTTATCTGGTCATCAGAGATCAGATCTAAACACACACAGGGACAGAACAGGCCATGCTGAAACACAAAGGGAGAAGGAGACTCATGGCAGAGGGCTAGGTAGCTTCCTTTCTCTGACTTGGAAAAAAACATTTTTAAAGCAAACACTTGGACTACAAAGCTAAAAAAAAAAAAAAAAAAGATTAAATTACATACGGACCATTTCCTAATAAGAAAAATTAATTGGGTTAAAGTACAATACATTTTTCATTCTTTGCTACAGAACCACAGAATGTTGTGTTTCATCCGGTGCCTTTTATGAGTTTTGTGAGCTTTCTAAGACACGACAGCTCCAGGGCAGATCTTGCTGTTTGTGGTGGCTGAGCCCAAGCACGGGATTTAGTTCTGTGTCTTCCCAGATGGTCAGAGCTGCTGAAAGGCTTAGGGCACCCAGCTTTGTTTCCTTGTGGCTAGAAGACTTACTCTAGAGGCAGCTCAATTCGAGGATGTCAGTACACAGCATAGGCGACCGCCACAGTGCTGCAGCTTAACCTCACATCCCGCAGTGTCCCTGATCTAAACAGTCCAGACCAGATTTGACCACCCTGATGGACAAGATGAGAGCACACGAGATGGCCTGTTACGTCACTGATACACTGCTTCCCAAGGTATGTCCCTTGGAACATTAATCCTGGAGAGTATTATTAGTGTTTGAGAAACAATGACAACGCAGCCAAACAACTTTGGAAAACGCTGGGTGAAAAAGTTCAAGGGGTTTCCGTAAAATTTGCAATACTTTCCAGTAAGCTGAGGCCCACTGAAAAATTCCCAAGAGGGTGACACTGGATATGCCAGAGCTTCCACTTACTTTTGTGATTACTTAGTTATAAGGACTAAGAATTCTTACATCAGGTGGAAATGCACCTTCACCAGCTATTCCCCGTCAGTCCAGCTGGTGTGGTTTGGAGTTTCAGAATTCTCTTCCTCCTGTGAGCCTGTGTGTGCTGTTTGTGGCAAACAGCCACCACACATGCTTGTGGCTGCTTCTCTTGGTGGACTAGCTTCCCTCCAGCCTCCTCTTGGATTCCCCAAGCCCCTTGGAGGATGTGACCAGGAAACGTTGCAAAGTTTACAGAAAAATGGAATTAATAGTTGCTTATTTTGGTGTGAGAAGTTTTTGAAATCCATGCATTCTAAGGGGTACTCCAACAAGAGCTGATGAAAAATGCAGTTTGTGGAAAGACTGCACGTGAAATTCAAATATGAAGGGAACAAACAAATTAATCTTTTAATTCCAACTTTTGGTGCGTTTCTGTCATTTCTGAGCCTTTTACTCTTCTGCCTTCCTGTCTGGAGTTTGCTCCTGACTCTCTTAATGGCAGATGACAGTAACATTTGAACGTCAGATAGGCATCAAGGATATAAGTGTCCTAAAGCATTACCTGCTATTTTTCTGAAATGCAAATGTAACTTGTCACCCTGTACTTTTATTTGTGACGTCCACATACTGTGCAGAGGTGTGCCAACTATGCTGACAGAGAAGGCGCGGGGCTGCTGTCACCACCAGAGCTGGGTGTGCAAAATTGCAGAAGGTGACTGACATCCCGTCCTGTACGTGCGCTAGAAGGCATTTCACTGTCCACGTCCATCGGAGTGGCTTCTGGTGAAGGAGAGCTAAGGGCAGAGTGTCGGCAGCTACGGCAGGAAGATACCTTTGCTCAAGTGTTCCGTCACTTGTTCCCCAGATGCAGATTTTCATGGAAGGTCAGCGTGTGCCCAAAGACCCTGAATTTGGGTCCAGAACTCCAGCCTTGCAATGTCTAGACCATGTCACTTTCTTCCCACCCATAAGCTCTGTAAGGGCAGAGATGTGCCTGGACACCATCATGTCCCGAGCACTTGGCTCAGTTCTTAGGTTGCTGAAAGCCCCCACCAATATTTATTAAGTGCTAGAATGAATGTGAGATTCCTCAAAGCTTCCTTTTCCTCTCAGAGCAACTTGCAATAAATTATTTTGACATAGATTCCAGAGCACAGAGATCATGTCTGATGCTTCTTCAGGTTCCTGTTCAGCCATCCCCATACCTAGCCCCGATCCCTTGTGAAGAAAGGAGCTTGATAAAACTTGTGATAAGAAGGGATAAATATAAATGCATCAGTGCTAACCTACCTGTGATTTGATTTTCTATTTCTCCTTGCATGTGCAAAGACTCCATATAGACGGTGCGGTTGCCAATAAATCTTGCACATGCTATCCCTCTGTATGGCTGGCAGAATCCATCTTCTTCATACTCGTCTCTAGAAACAAAGCATGAAGTTAGCCTGAAGCACCACGTATACAACGTGAGCTCTGATTGCACAAAGCCTACACAGTCGCTAGGTGGTGCAGTTGGGCACAATATCTAACAAAGTCTGCAAAGCAATCGGGCTTAAAACGGCACCTAAAACATCTGTTGGTCACGTTGGTCAAGTTTCCCACATATCTAGAAAATCATCCTGAAGCACAAAATCGTCCTTAAATATGGGGGAAAATGCTTTTATTTTCGCAGCTGGTGGTGGGCTGAAAGATGATGTAGTCGTAAGAGTAAAGAGGAAATGAGTTGGAAATCTGGGCACATGTTCTACAGTTGTTTTGTTTTTTAAGCACAGATTATTTCTGCTTCATTTGCTTCAAAGGCGTAGGTGCATTAGCTGCAAGATTCACTCCAACTGACATGTCAGTTAGGGGGACCTCCAGGGTGCAAAGCTAGGTGCAGCTGGAGGAAAACCAGACAGCAACCTGGGTGAGTCTCCCAGGCACTGAAGATGGTCTGTACTGGGAAGAAGGGCCTGGCCAAAGCACAGGCTGCAGGACCCAAATGGAGTCCCGGAACCCAAGGACGTCTAGCGAGAGTTTTGGTGGAAAGCTTGCTCTTCTGCGCCCCTAAAAAAATATTACTTCAAAACAGGACAGGGGAGACTCTTGAAGGTGAGGGGACACCAAAAATTAACATGTGTAGAATGAGTGACAAGTGCTGAGGCTGGAGATGAGAGGACCCAAGATGGCAGGTTCACCTCGAAAGGACAGAGGCTACATCCCAGGCACTAGAGGACGGAGCCTCCAGCTGCTTCAAAAGGGCAGACCACAGCTGCAAGCAAAGCTGCCGGCCATGTTCATGGCCGACCTCTCCCCTGGATGCTCCTCTTCTGTGCAACACACTGCAGTCAAATACATCATCTCAACAAAATCTCAGTTCTCTGCTTTGGTCTCTACTAAGCGCAAATGTCTCAGGTCAAAGTTGGGAGAGCAAAGTCTTATCCTGGACTTAAGAGATGGGCATCCCTAGGTAGGCTGTCCACACAGTCTCAGCCAAATGGAACTAACAATTGATTGGCTGCTTGCTCCGCCCCGTGAGTGGAAGTCATGGAGATCCCATCAGATCATGGGAGAGATTCAAAATTACAGAGCTGACATTTGATTGTCATGAAAGTATTTACAGTGACCAAAGAGGACATTTACTTGAGAGATATTCACTAAGCTCCTGCTTTGTTAAGTGGACTCTGGTTTGTGCCATAGAGCTGGACTTCCCCATTTGGGGGTTCAGAGGAAGAGTCTACAAAGTCTGGGATAGCAGTAAGCAGAGTAAACAAGAGGATCTGACAGCATGCCAATGTCCCATGCCTCCCTTCTCCCCATTCACCCAAGTAGTCATTCTGAAGGTGGAGCTGGGGGCAGTATCTTCAGTTTAGTGCCCCCACCACATAGTTTGTGTTGTGAAGCTCTTAAGATCTTAACCTTTCAGTACCCATACAAATGAATATGTCATATACCTGACATGGAGACATTGAAATTTTAATGTTGCACAATCCTGCAAGCACTCCACATGTTTACTTTCATAAATCCTGGAGTAATGCTGAAGCCTTTTTGGCTTAAATTTTACTTGGGCTGTAAAATTAACCCAACTTTTATTGGGTAACTAATACCATAAACCTATGGGGAGAAAGAAAGTTCTCGATGACCTAGCCATGCATCTTGGAAACCAAAGTGCAGGGATGCGAATGCACCCCCACACCCTGCAGCATCACCTCATTGCTATTACACAGGATGGTTTTCTATCCTGAGGCATTAGCGGACCTCTGGATTTTTAAGGTGTCATTATGAGAGTACTTCTTCCTCCCCCACATTAAACTCTCAAGACCTCAATTTATATCTCTTGGGAGGACAAAACCATGAAATTACCTCAGATATAAATCCCCAACCTTCTGGGAGTTCCCATATTTTATGTGTGAGGCTTAGACTAAACTTCTTACCACCTTTCCAGTTTCAAACTCTTAAAAAGACTCTTTAAATACTTTTCCCCCCAGAATATATGGAATGCAATTCCTTGGCTGCCCATTTCTTATCAAGGGCTTAAGGCTGCAGGTGCACTGCACTTCTGATTATGCCCAAATTCCCACAATTCTGGCCGGTCTCTTGAGGACAGACTAAAGCAAACAAAACCGTATGGAAACATCATCAGCTGGGGGTTGCTCTCATCCCAGGGTACTTACAAGAATCTCTTCAGGACACTTGTAAAAATATCAATGTCCAAACCCTACTTGAGACCTATAAAGTCATACTCTCTGGGGTCAAGGTTAGGTATTTATATTGCCTTTTTAAAAACAAAACAAACAAAACCCCCCTAAACCCCACAAAAACCTCTCAGCTAATCTGAATGTGGTTCAGAACTGTAGTACTAAGCAAAATGAACGTGGAGTGTCTGACTCTGTCCGTGTGGGGTGTTGCACTAGATGTACCGCTGATGAGGCTGAAACTCCGAGTCAGGGAAGATAACTAATTCAAATTCACGAAACCGCTAAGGTGGCAGAGCGAGGCCTTAGACATTCCCAACTCAAGTCTTTACTCTGTGTTGTAAGATGTGTGGGGCTGGTGCCACGGCTCAACAGGCTAATTCTCCATATCCAAGTGTGGCGTCCCATATGGTTACTGGCTCATGTCCTGGCTGTTCTATATCCCATGCAGCTCCCTGCTTGGGACCTGGGAAAGCACTGATGGTTCAGATCCTTGGGATCCTGCATCCATGTGGCAGACCAGGAAGAAGCTCCTGGCTCCTGGCTTCAGATCAGCTCAGTTCCAGCTACTGAGGCCATTTGCGGAGTGCACCAGCAAATGAAAGATCTTTTTTTCTCGCTGTCTCCTTTTCTTTGTAAATCTGCCTTTTTAATGAAAATAAATCCTTAAAAAAAGAGATCCATAACTATTTGCTTCTCAGTACTGCTTGATTAAATCTTGATTAAATGAGAGATTTTATAAAGAGTATCCCATACCCTGATGTGTTTGAGTCAGAACCATTAGGCAACACAAAGAAATAAAGGGGATACAAACTGAAAAGGAGGAAGTCCAACTATTTCTATTTGCAGATGACTTGATCTTTTATATAGGAGAACCAAAGTACTCTACTAAGAGACTATGTTAGAGCTCAGGAGAAAAATCAATGCACAGAGATCCTTGGCATGCTTACACACCTATGAGGCTCTGGCTGAGACAGCACTTGCAAGATCAATCCCATAGCTACAAAAAATTAAATCCTATGAGATAAATTTAACCAGGCATATGAAAGAACTCTATAACAAAGATTGCAAAATATTAATGAAAGAAATAGACGACACTCACACAAATGGAAAAATCATATTCATGGACTGGAAGAATTAATCCTCTCAAAATGTTCATAGCATCCAAAGTCATTTTATAGAATCAACGTAACCCTCATAAAAATTCCAAGGACATTCCTCACAAAACTGGAAAATTTCATATACTAACAAGATAAGACATGCTGTCATTTCATTCTGACAACAATTTTACAAAGGTGGTGATTATTTACAAAGGAGGATACTGAAGTTTATTAACTGAAAGGATAAGCAAAGTTCACAGCAGTAGAGGAATTTAATTTTATCCCCCAATATTATTAAATTTTATCCTCATACATTCTACCATTTCCCTCCAATGGTTCAGTTATAGAATCTTTTTAATTTGAAAGAATGAGAGAGCGAGTGAGTGAGTGAAAGAGACAGAGAGGAAGAGACACATACACAAAACATACCCAGAGCTCTTCATCCACTGGTTGACTTCCTAGTGCAACATCCAGCATGGGGCCAAGCTGACGCCTGGAGCCAGCACTCCATCCTGGTCTCTTGGGCCTTCATCTCCTGCCTTCCCACATGCATAGCAGGGAGCAAGATCAGAAAGCAGAGCAGCTGGCTGGGCTGGGTGGGGAAGGGGGAAGTCCTCGCCCGCTGGGCCACAGAGTCTGCCCCAGGGATGGAAGTTCTGACACTACTCCTAAGGATTTTGTACTGGGAGGAGGCGCTGGTATACACAGAGTACCAAAACAGTTTTCTTTTAAAAGCCTGACGCCAAAATCACCTCTCATTCCTTTCCATTTTCCCTGCTGTCTTTGACTGAAAAGGAACAAATGCTCCCCCACATTCATTAGTGTGGTGCTCTTTTCCATCTCACACTTCTCTCATCATGGAGGTCTTCCTGCCTTGCCCCTCCCAACCCCTATCAATCCCCAATCTGCATCCTGTCTGTGGACTTACTCATTCTGAGTACACCTTATACATGAAATCAGGATAAATGGCCTTTCATACCAGCTTATTTCACTTAGCATGATATTTTGAGGTCCTTCCTCTCTTTCATATAGATGAACAAGCTTCTCCCATATAGAGCTATCATGTTTTGTCTACCCATTCATCCGTGGGTGACCTGGAAGTTGTATCTACCCATTGGCTATGATGAGCAATTCTCATGTGAACACTTGTTTGAGTACCTGTTTTCAATTCTTTCAATTCAATGCAACTTTGCGATTAGTGAACTATCTCTATACAATGCATTCTCTCCCACTAAGGAGAGGTATGCATTGTAACTGACTTCAAGGGAACTTTTGGGGACCAAATTCTTCAGCAAGAATCAGTTCTTGCTGATTAAGTCTATTAGCTTCAGGAGTATGACAATTTATTTAGGGATGATGAAAACATGCTGAACTAGGTAGAGGTGGTGACTGTACAACATTGAAGCACAACTGCTACAGAGTGGTACACATTAAAACAGTTAATTTCCTGTTACATGAATTTTGCCTCGCCTCAACTTAGAAAAATCTCATTTACACACCAGGGCCTGAATGGATGGAGAGGCCCAACAGTTACAATTTCAAGCCTCCGAGCTGGGGAGTGATTCTGGGGTCACTTTCAGGCATTTGGCAATGTATGCTGTATCAGTAGGCTCCTTTGTTCTGATTCTCAAGGCTCTTCCACTGGAA